TTTTTATTACTATTATTAGCTTACCACGCAATGTTTCATTTCTATATTAACATGATTCTCAATGGTTTTCTTATATTTCATTATATATTATTATATTGTATTTGTAAATAATAATTATATGGTTGTTTTATGTAGCTGAGGCAGTTCTTTGTTTAGAGGTTCTGTTGTCCATGTGGAATGTTGTTGTTCATAGAAAATGATGAAAAGTTAGCGTACTTCTTGTCACGAATTTAAATTGAATTGGTTTTAAAGCTAAATTTAATTGTCGGCTCGAGGACAAGCCTGAAACATAAATATATTAATATTATTAATATAAAAATATTTCAAGTTATATATTTGGTCTTATTTTTTGGAAAAAAACTCGTGGTCCAGAAAACTGCGGAGTTGTTTCATTCTAGTTACCTTTGTTGTTTTGTTCTTTTCTAGTAAATAGTAACTACTTTGCCTTTGATGATATTGCTGTAACTTCACACACATATCGAATAAGTCATCGACAGCAATGCCTTTCCCTGGTTGAGCATATTGTTACGACAGCGGAAGTCACGTGATGCTAGTAACATGTCATGAGATTCTAGAAGGATCATGTTTGTTCCTAGCAACTCTAGTCTTTTCTACGTGCCCTCAATTTTTGTATATATAAGCCCGGCAAATAAAACGGGGGAGAAGTGACGGCATATATAAGGGCAGATAGGGAGATATAAAAACAGATGTTCGAGTCAAGCGAGTGGTAGTGACCGTCAGTAAAGTGCGTGAATCGTTGCGAATTATAGCGTCTGTTTAAGTTAAAGTGACTGTGGAAATTCTGTGTATTGCAAAGTTGTGTTGAGAAAGAATAAATTAGTTTTATTTAAGAAAGGACTTGTATCGCTGAAGTCCTTCGGAAACAATTTTTACGGGAAATTAACAAACGAACACAGAGACGTAACAAATTGGTGTCAGAGAGTGGGACTGAAAATAAAAATAAAAAAGAAGAAGAAGAAGAAGATGGAAACGAGAGGTGGCAAATCAAACTACAGCTTAGCAGATTTGATGGCAGCTATACAAGAACAGCAAAAGAAACAAGAAGAGAGACAACAGCAAAAACAGAAAACCTGCAACAGTGGCAGCTCGAACAGCAAAATAAACAAGAAGAGAGATTACAGTAGTTGTTGGAGGAAAAAGAAAAGAAACAAGAAGAGAGACAACAGCAGTGGCAAGAAAACCCGCAACAGTGGCAGCTCGAACAACAGAATAAACAAGAGAGACTGCAGCAGTGGTTGGAGGAGAAAAAATAAAGAAGACAAGAGAATACAGCAGTGACAACTGGAACAAGAAAGGAAACAGGAAGAAAGTCTCCAACAGTTACTGGAAAGTCAACAACAGTGGCAAGAAGTACAAGTAGAAAACATTAGTAAATTTCAAAGTGAATTAAATACCTTAAAGGATGATTTACTGTCTTTTACACAAGGAGGATATATTAGCCATAGATTTAATCAGCCCCAGACAATGGCAAGCCCCTTCTAGACCCCGCTGCTAAACTCTAATGCAGACATCTTCAGTCCTGTTAGAAGTCACATCCCAGACACGAGTGTCAGCAATAGGGGTGATTTAGTATGAAGGAAGCCACAGGAATTTGATGGGAAGGCACCATGGGAAGCATATAAAGCACAATTTGAGCTCCTGGCAGAGATGAATCGATGAACAAAGGAGCAGAAAGCAGTATATCTGGCAACAAGCCTAAAGGGACAACCACTGAAAATACTTGGACAGTTGTCAGCAGACGACAGGCACAACTATAGAACACTGGTAGCTGCTCTAGAACTCAGGTATGGAACTCAAAATCAGTCCGAAGTATGCAGGACTAGGATTATAACGAGAGTCCGTGCTAAAGGGGAGAGCCTGCAATAGGTGACACAGGATTTGGAAAGTATGGCACACAAGGTCTACCCAACTGCACCACCCGATCTCCTCAAGTTGTTGCTGAGGGATCAGTTTGTAGATGCTTTGGACAGTCCACAACTGAAGTTAAGCAAGCACACCCCTCTACTATGCAGGATGCAATGGCCAGAGCTCTTGAATTCTAATCCTATGTTAAGTCCAGCACAGAGGTACCAAGGTTGGTACAGTCATCAGGATTCAAGACCAGAAAAGGTCAGCTTTCAAAGAGGTTTGAGGGACTTTGCTGGCACTGTAACAAACCTGGGCACAAGAAAGCTCAATGCTGGAAACTTCAACACAGGGAAGATGCCATGGCAGGAAAGGCTGCTACTCAGAAAGGTTGTTGGAACTGTGGAGTACAAGGACATGTGAGGAACCAGTGTAAGAAGAATACTACCAATAAGTCAGCCACGAGGAAACCAGTAGTGGTTAGTGTTGAGGGACGCCCATCAACCCCCATCATGAAAGCCCCAACAGCTAAGTTTAAAATGCCAAGCACACATAGTGTCTACATGACAGGAAAGCTGGATGACCAAAAGTGCAACTTTGTCATAGATTCTGCATCTCAGCAAACCCTTGTGAGTATCAAGGTGCTAGATCACAGAGGAGTAACAGATACCATACAGAAGCTTTGTGGTGTGACAGGACATTATGCAAGGTTGTGGGGAACAGCATGGGAACTATTGAGCTCATGGGCATAAAGGACAGATACAAAGTATATCTGGCTGACATTGAAGACCAATGCATACTAGAATTGGACTACTTACTACCGAGGAAATGTGTAATTAATTTTGATAAAATGACGTTTGAGTAGAACAAAGGCCAAATTCCGGTAAGTGTTAAAAGAAAGGTTGGACTAACCAGGTGTCATCAAGCTGAAGTCAAAGCGACTGAAGGAGTTGATGATGGTGAAGTGGAACCAAGCAGAAAAGGAGAAAGACCAAGATTTGAAGCCAATAATTGATTTTCTACAAGCAAGTGTTTTGAGCCCTGCTTGGGAGAAGGTGTCTAGTTTAAGCCCTGTGACAAAGAACTGTTGGGTGCAATGGTACCAGTTGAAGCTTAAAGATGGTATTATTGTATG